CACACACACACACACACACACACACACACACTAACAAACTCCCTTGGGAATCCGGCTCAGCGGGGGCCTTGATGGGCCCCACCCCACTCCAAGGACCTGAAGTCCCCCTCCCAGCCCACAAACCAGAGGGACCAGCACCTCCAGTCAACTTTGCTGCAGCCACCCCGCAGCCTTCTGACCCCTGGGAGCCGCGACCCTGCTGAGGAAGCAGGTCAAGCCCCAGGGGCCTGGCCACTGAGCTGGTCACCATTCTGTGTGGTCAAGGGCACGAAGCCCAGCTCCACCATGTGTGACCCCAAGTAAGTGTCCTAACCTCTCTGTGCCTCACCTGTGAGACTGGACTCTGACACGCTGCAGGATGTTTCCTCGAGCTAAGTGAAATCATGACTACATTGAAGAATGTGTTTAATGTGATTAGCACAGAATTCGGCACTTTTAAGCAATAGATACACGGGAATTATTCTTTTCTTCTTATTAATAAAGCACATGGAAAAGGGACAACCAGAGCTCTGTGAATGACTGAGGGGCAAGGGCAGGATGTTCAAAGGAACAAAAGCCTTTGCGTCCAGATGCATCAAGAAGATAGTACATTATATAGAGAGAAGGCATTTTATTATTATATGTAAGGTAAGATATTGTGAATTGAACCCACTCTTTTGCTCTGAAATCCCCTCTGGAAAGGAGGGTACACATCAGGACACAGAATTTCCTGAAGGACCCAAAATTAGGCTCCATCCACCAAAAAGCTGGAGACTCTTCAGTAGCAACGAGCAAGATGCCCACCGGTCAGTGGCCCCACCAGGCCTGCTTTTCCAAGGACCGGGCCAAGGGAGAAAGTATGGACCTGGCCAGAAGACGCTACAGGAAATCACTTTGTCTGTCCAATTACTTCCTTCCTCTGCAGCGGGCAGGCCATGTGCTGTGGGACCAGCGGGGGCTGTGACAGATGCCCTGGGAGCACACCCTCCATCCTCTCCTGGAGTCCCCCAGCCTCTCCCGGTGCTCCGGGGCCAGCTCGAGCGGCTTGCTGCAGAGTCCCTCAGCTCCTTGTCCTACAGCGCCACCCTCTGGCGAGTCAGAATAGGAGGCCCAAGAAGGTGCCTGGCCCTTCCCTCTCTGCCTCCTTCCCTCCCTGAGCTTGGTCCTTCCCTCCTCATTAATTATTTGTGCCTGCACAAAGCCCTAGGTCTGATTCCGGCCGATTCTGCCTTCTCGGGTGTCCTTTCGCATCGGCCAAACACCCGTCCTCACTCACGCTGACTCTGGCCAGGGCGGGGGCAGGAGGGCCTCCCGGCACAGCTGGGGTCCCTGACTATCCTTCGTGACCCAGCGTAGAGTCCCAGAAGCTTCCAGCCTGCAGGGGTCTTGGGGATCATCTGCTGACTACCCCCTCCATCACCATCCTCCCCACCTCACAGATGGAAAAGAGATGGCCTGAGTCCACTCAATGAGCCAGCCCAAGCCAGTGACCCTCCACTACGTGTTCCAGAGCCTGCCCTCCAAAACTGCTTCTCCGCTAAAGATGGGCAGAAACAGAGCTCAGCTTCCCATCCCAAGTTGTCATAATCACGTGCCAATAAATGCCACATGAGTGAGCATGGCTGTCACCTGAGATATGGCCTTGAGCCCCTGTTTTTGCATATTTCCCTGCTGGTTGGCATTGGGAACATTCTACCTCCTGTTCGGGTTTCTTGGCAACACCTTCGTCAGAGATTTAACCAAACAAAGAGGCCCACGCGTACTACCCTCACGAGCCACAGGGAGGCGGCCAGTCTGGACCCTCCCCCTGCCAGCTTGAAGTTCTCAGAAGTCCCCTCGAGGTGAGAGGAAGGCAGTGCCCGTGTGGATGTGCACTTGGCAGGAGCCAGGGAGCAAGCACGGGCCTGGGGTGTTGCGCCAGGACTCACAAAGCTGGGAGGGGCTTGAGGACACATCCAGTCCTGCCAGAGAAGACAGAGGGCTGCATTCACTTAGCAGCCAAACTAGGGCTGGAGCAGACCTCTTGGCTGGCAGGTCCATCCAGCTTTCTTTTCATGCTGAACCCCTACTGACTTCAGTCTATTTCCAGATTTTTAAATGAGAGTCCAAACCTCATTGGTTCTCTCATTGCTGCCACCGCCCCCCTACTCTGATATACCCAGATAATGAACAATTTTCTCAGCCAGAAGAAAGAAGTGGGGCTTCTGGAGTCTGACGTTGGGCAGGATTTTTATCAGGGAAGGTAGCAATGAGCCAGTGGCACTCAGTGTCTGCTATCCGCCTGGCAGGGGGCTTCTAGAAGCCTGAAGAGAAAGCACTGCTCATAGCCACACATCCAAATCCAGTCCCAAGAGTTCCCTGGACCCAGTTAGAGATCGCGTGTCTTTTTGGCTCACTCATCCAAGCTCCCCAGTGGGTTTCGAACCACAGATTTAGGGTCCAGGGAGAGCACACGTGGGTGACAGCAAGCAGTCCAGCAGCTCAGGTGCCAACGTGGGCCTGGCAGCCACACAGGTATGTGTTTCCAATCAAGCACCTTCCTTTGCATTTATCCTGATGGACCAGAACTGTCTTTCTGCTGTATTTCTTTTCACTTGGGCAACCCTTTGATGCTTGAAATCATCATTAGAAGGAATAAAAAAAAAGTAGGTTGGCTTTTTATACAGGTTCCTAGAACTGAATGTAGCCAAATGA